AGCTGCAAAGCTCACAGGCGCCACACCACCACCGCTACATCTACCGCCCATCCCCGATTCGTTCCGCTTTCTGTGTACGCGCATGGCAGCTGTTCTTAAACCTGCCTTATTCGGAATTTTATCTTGCTCTTGCAATGGCGACATCGACTGCACTGAATCTTATCTTCTTCTTCCGCCATCTTCAGTGCATACCCAGTAGCATCCGGACCAACCGGAAAGTGATCGACATACACTCTCTATAACAACGCGCACTTTTTTGCAAGAAGCGAATCAACAGGCTTGTCTCCGCTCACGGGAGCTGTCGTGCAAATCAGGCTAGGCGGCAATCAATGGTCTAGGCCTTCGTTACTGATTACAATTGCGTCGGCAGATATCAACCGACTGCAAGAATGCGATAGCTTATTTTCGATACGAATCATGAGATTATGGACGAAACTTTCCAAGCGTCCATGCGAACTCCGGTCACGAACCCGGTTTGAAGATCCCCAGGGGCCCTCGACCTGGCTTCCCGCATCCCTTGAGGGCCGCTGCCTGTGTAGCTCGATCGTCTTCGATCTCCCACGGCTGACTTCTCCACGCTCGTCTTTCCGCAAAGAGATTGAGTAAAGACTCGTACCGAACTACCAACCGCGAGCGACATGTCCGGTCGCATGAACATAATGTAACAGCGCCACATGTTTCGCAATCTGTATACGAAGGACTAGTCCATCATCTGCTTTGAAATCGCTATTTCTCCAGCCGGGCCATCACCTGCAAACGTGACTGCATAAGCGGCATTTCTGACAGGCGACTATTCTTCTCTGATTGGGTCTGCCAAGGGGCACTTTCTGCCGGCCTGTGTCCAAGGACCGTGCCATCCCAGTACATATCAGAATCCTGCGACAAGGACAGGCTTGTCTCCCGCACATTCCCTGTACTCAGCTTTGATTCGAGCGGACACTTGAGGGAAGGATTCGGCATGGGCTGATGTATGCAGCAAGTCATCGGCGCGGTAAACTGCTTTCCTTTGATGATGTCAGTCATTGCTAGTTTTCGATGTGCTGCAGTAACTTGTTGCGATGCGATGCGAATTGGCCCACCTCCAGCATGATAGCCATCCAGGGCCGGATCCTCGCATATCTAGTCATATCTGGCGATGCCGTATTGCAAGATTTCGAGTATCTGCATAGTCCTACCTAGGCTTACGCTCGTCAGCCTAGACAATCTCTACCAATACACGGTTAGTATTGCGATTCCGAACACGACCCTGCTCCGTTTACTCCGTTCATAGCTTCGACTTATCTACCTAGCGAATCAAACCAAAACTTATCCTATCTATCCAATAAGATAGATACTTCGCGACGCACGGAATCGTTGCTCTTTCACATATATGATACCTGCAGCATGTCATGACCGTGCGCCTCGTCCTGAGCTGAATGACATATGCCGAAAGGTTGCTCTCAAGCTCTAACCGCTTGGCTGGCTTCACTTCGGTCTTTTGCGCGCTCCGCCATTGCTTTTCGATGCGCCTCAGGAATCCTACACTATTACCTGTTGCACTGGGCAAAGAAAGCGCTTGTCGTTGGTCGAGAGATTACTTTTTCGGGGAATATACACGAGTTTGCGCTGCATACACCCATGTCTAGTCCCGAAAGAAGCAATGCATATCAGGTAATGACCAAGCATAGTCGGCCCTTATCATTCAAATAGTGTGGACTTCTCCAGAACAAGACGAATGCGAGGCTTGTCTAACTGCAGTAGAGCTGACAGCATAGCCGTCTTTTTGAGTGAGTCGCGATGCCGATCTTGATTGGCTGGTGCACGCGTTTCACCGTATTAGCGGCCTTCTAGCGGCCTTCGAGAAGATTGCCCTGAGATTGTACTCGCCATCCATCCATGCCTCGAAAACTTGAGTCAAGCATGTGCTCTGTTCGCGAGCACGGTGGTCGATGGCATCATCCCGAACTCTAAGTACTGGGCGTTGTTACCTTATCTCGGCAAGGCTGCGAGGACGGAACGGCTGTGTACTAAAACATCACGATCTTCTCAAGGTCAGCGCTAGCATATGGACAGTGCGTTACGGTTGACCTCCGCGAGCGCACCGTCTTGCCGTCTCACAGACCTTTCGTCCGCTTCTCTTCTTGCTGCCTATTTCATTCCCAGAGCACTGGACGCGACACGACTGAAAACTGGACAGGATGTGCCACGTGTAGCGTGTAACCACAGATTGGGCGATTAATCCTGTTGCTAAGAGACTGTTCTACAACATGGAACCTGACACAGCAGCTTCGACCAAAATAGCTTTCGAACCCCAATACATTACTGATACCTGTCTACCTTCAGGATATGCAATTAACATGCACGCCGAAGGCATTACGCATAGCGGCGAGAGTATGCGACACAGTTGTCGGACACTGAGTAGCGCCACCGGGATACGCGCTACCCAAGTTTCACGAAACGTTGACATGTTGGAGTAGAGTGGTCAAACTCTTGTTTCAGAATCGTCAATAAATACGCATTAAAAAGCCGTGCACATTCAAACTCAAAAGATGGACAATCGCTAACGGCCGTGATTACATCCCGGTATCCGGGAGACCAGGCCCCCTAGATTTGTTTGAAGCCACGTCGTACGACCAGATTTTCCTTAACACGGCAGTCGCGCCGGGTGAGTCTGGTCAGTCAAAGATGTAGTCTTCAAGTATACACAAGGTTCTTCCCCGGACGCGTTTGACGCGCTCGAGTATCTCAGGAAAGGAGTAAACGTTTGAAAAAGAGTTCGCAATATGCGCGACGCGTCTGCGCCGAGCAGAGCCTCGCTGCGAACGTTTCGGCGCGTCCGTTTTCAGTATGCGGAGCATCATCAGTCCTCCGGCTTACTTAGTGATTTAAGATGCGCGCATGAACGTTTCGGGCGCGGTTCCGCGTGCTCCAACCTCTCCACCAGGTTCCGGAGTAGTAGTCGTCACTCATCGCCTCATTCTGCAAATGGCCCTTTTCTCCGTCCCACTCCTAAGACATCCGAATACGCTGAATAACCTTTGACTAAATGTCATCTCGCCCTCGTAGTCGGTACCAGAAGAATGCCCAACCAGAACTATTAGTCTCATGTTACTCAAGGAGCGCTTTCGCAATCGGCCCACCAGATGGACGCGTCACACTCGGGCGCACATGGTAATTACGAGGCCAAGAAGGATGATTAACAGTACACAACCCGTTTGCCCTAAGCGGCCGCTCTACTCCGAGCGTAGGTTGCCTAGACCTTTACAGAAGCTGGAAAAGTAAGTCAAGCGACACGCAAGTGTGCGGGGAATAGATGAGTTGGCAAGCACTTCCTGCTTCCCGACTTGGGTCTTTCTCTATCTCTCGCAGCGTATTCCCGGTCTACGGGCAGAGCAAGGGTAAATGTGTGTGCACACCAGTAGTCCGGAAGTGAAAAAAAGTTGGTTTTTGGAAAGGCAAGCCCAGCGTAAAGCATCGCACCAGTCACAAGACACAGATATGAAGATCAGATAATGTGGGTTCGCCAGCTGGGCTCGATGATCGCATGATTGGCAGGCTCATCCGCCACAGACTACTGCAGTGTCGTGGTAGGGGTCGACTGACTGCGTGCCTTCCGCCTTTGTATGTTTCGAACTGACAAACTGCAATGCATGCAGTGGATAGGAGGCTTTTACCCCACCCTCGTCGTCGGGCTGATGACACCGTCGGGCATTGGACTACTCAAACAGTTCATACCTGCAGCTCGTTCGGCATTGCGGACTGTTTTAAGACCCTCATTCAAGCCCTGCTGAGATCGTGCTTCGAAACCAGGTTTTGCCGACGATATTGAGCTTCTTTTATTAATGGTTATCTTGATTCAAGGACAAAGTGGCGCGTAGACCTACCCTTGCGGTCCATAGCGGATCCTGGGGGTTGGGAGAGGTCCTGCCCTTGTTGCGGCAAAGGATGTCGAGGCGGGCCCTCCTTTTTTGGAGGGGGAAAAACTTTTGCTTTTGATTTTTTGCTTTGTCGCCGTTATCTTCAAGGAGAGGCCTTTGAACAGTTGGGTCGTGTACTGTAGTGAGCATGGCAGTGCTTGCAGCAGGTACCTGGCTGAACTCCCCTGCTGTGAGCCGCTGGCAAGTTGTCATGGGGGTGGCCGGGATACGATTCAGTGCTCAGCGACACCGCACAATGAAGACAACCTCTTGAACACGATTGCTTTTCCATATCAGCGTATCGACAAACAAGATGATTGAAATTTACATGCCTAGGCATACCTCCTTCACACGATGCGATACTTAGATGATGACATCGGTTGTTCACCCCACCCCTCAGTGCCTCTCCCTACACCCAGGAGGAGACCGACTACGCAGGCATGAAATCGTACCCTCGTTCTGACACTACACATACCAGACTACTCTCCCATATCCGCCGCTATCCTACCATGTCCTCTGTGATTCAACACTGTCCCCGTAGCCCAGCGTCCACGTATCACATACCGCAAATCTAAACGCTTCTCCAGCCAGCACTACCGCAGACGTACAGGTGACACATGGAATACAGATAACTATATTGGATATACAAGGGAGAGGGACTCCGGCAGCACGATTGCACAGTACATATGTGCAGAGAGGGATTATACTCTGGGTAAGCTAACACGTACACCTCGAGAGCGTAGTCTCTTCTTCCCCACTGCGGCGGCTGTGAGTCCGGATTCCTACGAAATAGAGTTTTGGAAGCAATTCTATCATTCGACGGCATAAGGAAAGATAGGGCGTCGGGTGCCGCGGTGTATGCTCGAAGCGACGTACTCGTGGTGTTTATAAGAAGCTTGAGAATGACCGGGATACAGCGCACTTTGGCTAGATGTGGAACACTATGTCTTAGGAGACACAACATGGTATGGTTAAAATGGCTCTTGGAAAGGATCATGTACAGGTAAAGTCCATGCTATGACGCAGATTACTTTGTGTAGGCAAAGCATGAAGAAAATAGTTCAGAAGTCCCACACTGCTCACCTTATTCTTTTCCAGCTACGTACTCAACCATACACTACATTAAACTAACTCCACGCTCTAACACATACCAGAGACACTAACAACATTAGAAACCCCAGTATCAATCGCCTCACCACTTGCCTCCACTTTCACAAACATCAGCATCTTCTCTACAGATGCCTTAGTCTCGAAACCAGTCTTCTCTACACTCACAACCTCACTCAGACTGCCATTGACCGCGCCGCCAAACACAGTCCACGTCTTGTGCTCTGTAGCGCCATTCCAGCTCATATAAACCTCTGTCCCATTATGCGCTCTACACGCGAAAACATCCGGTTTCGCGCTCGGCTTACCAACCCACTCGGCCTTGTAATCGCGGTAGCTCTGCACAGCTAATGCCTCGCCCCATGACACGCTCAACACCACATTACCGTCTTTGTCGAACTCCTTCAGCGTTGGGACGCTGCCGTAGCCGAGGACGGAGTTGCCCGAGGGAAGAACTTCCATGTTGCCCTGGCTGACTGAGTATATGGTGTCGTCTGGGTCAACAAGCTCTTGGAGTAGAGTTGCAGTCATGGTGCGCTCGTCGACGGAGAGGAAGATACCGGTGCTTTGGTTGACGTGGGATACGACTGCGCTGTTGTCGTTGTTGAAGAGGGAGATTGTGGTTGTGTTGGGGGTGCGGGATGGGTGGATGCGTGCGTCGTGTTGGTAGCAGAAGGAGAGGTTGTTGGCGAGGGTGAAGTCACCTCCGGAGTAGCCCTGGAGAATGCGTCAGTATTTCTTCCTTTCTTGCCATCGACTCGTTTCAACGAGGAAATTGCTCAGACTTACGTTCAGCGTCCATTCGACCGTGCCGTTACGCTTCACCTTGTAGATGGAGCAGTAATGTCTGGATGAGATCAGGAGACTCCCATCCTCAAACCTCTCGATAGAGTTGATGTGGAATGGACCCCAGGGGTAGCTGCTATTCCTGCCCAGGTCACCAAGTGGGTACGTAGGTACAGCACTTTCGAGTGAGACTTCGTCCACATGGTCGAGATGACTCCATTCCCACAAAATCTCACTGTTCGTTACATTGACCTCCATAGCAATGGAGTCAACGATCCAGCCGTCCTTCGGGCCACCAACAGACGACAGATCCCAAGGTGTAACATTCATCGCGCCGATAAACATAGTTCCCTCAGGCGTGATGAGGTTCTCGTGCATGTCGACCCAACTGAACGGCTTCCACAGTGTAGGGTCGTACAACGGATAGATGCTTTGTAACGGGTAGGTCTCGTTCCATAGCGTGACGTTGTAGATGTTCTCATACTGCTGGTTGAGAATGTAAATAATCCCGTACCCAAAACCCCAAGGCTCGGCGAAACTGATACCCTTGAAATAGGCAAGCACAGGTTCGCCGAAGAGCGTGGTCCTTCGGAATGCGGCGTAATCGCCATAGCCGGATACCCAGACTAGCTCGCCGTCTTCGCGGAAAATGTTGAGACTGTAATTGTGTGCTCCGCTGCCGCTTTGGGGGAAGAAGATCATTCCTGGGGAGGTTTCACCTGTTTTGTTGATAGAGAGCACAGGCGGCTCTAGGCCTGGGAGCGATTTGAACGTCTGCCATGGCCATGGGGATGTTGTGTTTTGCGCGAGAACAGAAAGATGCGCCAAAGAGGCGAGGAGCACGTTCCGGAGACGCATTTTAGCTGGGTAATGGAGTCGACACGACTAGTCTATACAGACTGCGACGGATGTGCTTTTATACTCCACCGCACCCTCGAATACATACGCATGTCTTGGTAGTAGTAGTGCGTTGCCAGCCTTGAGCTGCATGCGCTCTCGGGTGAACGAATGCCGTAGCGCACATCTCATTGCAAATTTTCCCATACCTTGTCGCATTAGGCGGTACTTTCCAGACGAAGAAGCTGAAGCCGTTCATACGATGAATGCGATTTGCTACGATGCAGGTGTGCAGGCAGAGTGGAGCAAGTTATCAATTTCATCTTATCAGATCGAGAGTAAAAGTGGATTCTATTATCAATTTTGATCTTATCAGATCGAGATGTGGGCGGCGCTAGCCATCAGTCTCCTCTTATCAGATGCGGATCTTTCCGATATCGGATAACACAGCCGAGTGGCTCGGGGTACGCTGGGAAGCACCAGCGTTTATCCACTTTCATCAGCATTATGGCGGAAGAATTATTTCCCCCGATTTTCGCAAGCGAATTTTCGTGAGCAGTCTGAGGATTAGCCATAGGAACTGGGCACCTACCTTGGTATGGTAGTCTGTTGGCCCCAAACAACACACTGGCAAGCAACGTCGTGATGTACGGCAAAGACTGAGACTGACTAAGACCATAAGGCTGATCATTGATTTAGTAAGTACTGTTAACTTGCTGCAGATATCCCTAGATATGTATAGATTTCACTGGGGCACTTGCAGAAAGAATGGAGTACAAAATTCTCCGGTCTACCTGCCTAGGTAGGTACTGACACAGGACCTATCTAGGTAGGCTGCGCAACACAGGATATAGAACAGAAACATGTTATTTAGTAAGTGGCACTCCATTCCTTCTATATGTTCCTGAAACTACATTGTTCAGCATCGATACTCCTTCTATACCGCAACAAACTCGTCCAAACAGGTAATTCCTACCCCGTTGCTTCACATGGCCTGTATATCTTGAAAGATCCAACGGCTTTGTCATAATGTTTGCATGCTAATCTTCCAAACTGAGACTCTGATTGTTAAGAAACAAAGAGTTGAGGTTACATGGTTAGCCGCATACGAACCGTCAAGATGGGTATCAAGCAAATCCGAGGCTTCACGATGAGTACCTGGGTAGCTTCAAAAAGTAAGGATTCAAAAAGGAAAGCTCTCGACGAACATGTCAACTTAGCTTCGGCACCCCATACTGATGCCGAAGGCACTGTCTGTCAATAGTTTCGTTTGTTTAGATCGCAAGTGACCGACTTTCTGCCGCGTGGCCTCATAAGAGGCGGGAGTTGGGAAGCGGGTCAGCAACTAATAATATGAAGAAGTGATCACACCAGAAGTTACATTGATCAATCAGAAACAGCTAAACGCCCATTTCAAACTACCCATCGACTCGTAATCAAGATTAGGGCTTCTTGGATTATCTTCGCGTCCAGTCTCTGTGCCAACGTCTACGGCATTGATGCCCAACAAGTTCTCAGCAGCTCCCTCGACCTTGCCGGGAATTCGTACAAGTGCGAAAATAGTAAGTACATCAAACAGCTTTGATATTTTGTATAGCTAATCAGATGAATCAGGCGCGAAGCCATCGCTCACTTGTGCAGATCCGTCGGTAAGCAACCAAAGCTGCTTGTCCACTTGTGAAAACGGCCTCAACTTCAAGACATCCATCCCCGATTTCCTCCAGCCCGGCGGTGGCAGCAGCAGCGACTCATCTCTCGACGACTGTCAAGAAAGCAAGGAAGAATGCCTCAAGGACAAGGAAAACCCGAAGAACGATCTCAACGAGAAGAGTCAATAGCTCATCGAGAGCCAGCGAGAAGCATCCAACAAACAGAGTGAGGCGGAGCAGGAATTCTCGAAAGACAAGCAGGACTTGGAGAACCGACGCAGTGAGAAGGAACAAGAGCTTCTTCAGCAAGAGAAGAACTCAACGGCAGCGTTGAGTGAATGCCAGAACAAGGCAGCCGTCACGTATCTTGGTTGCTACTCCGACGCCAGGAACCGGGTATTGGCTGATAAGATGGATACAAACAATCAAATGACAATCATGAAATGCGCCTTTGCCTGCCAAGGATACAGATACTTTGGTGTTCAGGATGGCAAAGAGTGCCACTGTGGCAACTCTTTCAAGTACGAGCCGGAATTATTGGACGACTCTCTGTGTGGTAATGCTTGCTCTGGTAACAACAAGCAAAAGTGTGGTGGCGGATGGAAGAACTCTGTTTATGAGATGAAGGTTTGATTCGAATTCCAGTAGCAAAATAGAAGGACAAGATCAAAGCATGTTAGTCGCGGCGGGGATGGGCATCGGTGCAATGGAGGGGGCGAATATTTGGAGATGATAGGGTACTTATCAGTGCGGATGATGAGGAAGACATGGTTACATGGGACTTATATAGAAAAATGCAAATCTCCATTGCGAAAAATCTTAGTTCACAGAACTGTCAAGCTCATGACTAATAATCGAGATGATCATCAGCCTTTTCGCCCTCCTCTCGGAGATCTTGTCACCAAAATCTCATACAGAAAAAGCAATCTTTCTGCATATACAAGTCACGGTACCATCAACATCATAGCATACGATCACCAGTCTTATCGGCACTAAGTTAACTCCGGAAGCGACTCTCGTCCCTGTCGCATCGTGAGCCAATCGCGATTTTTAGAAATTTGACAAACCCAGTGGACTCTTGACGATTACGTTGAGAGTCTCGCAGTCATCGCTATGTCGCAACGATAATCCAATAGGATCATAGTGTTCCCAGTCGCGAATGCCTTGGGAGACGACAACGACAAACGACAGCGCCATCTCATACACAAACTGCCTTGACGTTACGCACGTAACCCCCTCTTGCCTGAAAAAAGTTAGCATATCGTGCATAACTCCAAACCTCGCACACGTCCAGTCGCCCTTACTCTTCCCTCAATGTCCGCGCCTTCCATAGCGCATCATCCATAATCTCGTTACTCTCTGCCTCTCCATCCACATCCTCGTCGTTGTCCTCATCCACATTCCCACCCTCACCAATGCTAGCCAAATACCTATCTCCCGTCTGCCTCCTCTTTGTCCAAGCCATCCACTCTGGACGCGACCTCAACGCTTTACCCCTGCCCCCAGTACCTGTAAGCCTCGACCCAGCCAATGCTTCAACATCCTCCGTCGATTTATCGCTCAAAACAGGCGTCAGACTCATACTTCTCAGTCCGTCTCTCACGTTTTCGACCGCACCGCTTTCTGGTGCCTCTTGAGCGGCGAGGGAGTCTGCATTGACGGCGAGTTGCTGGGATATTTTCGATGCGGCAGCGAGCTTTGATGAGCGGTGGGCGGGGAGGCGGGGAGATTTTTTGGGCTTCATGTTTGCTGAGATGGGCTTTTTAGTGCTGGGTGGTAGGGTAGTTTGAGGTGAAGGTTTCGGTAGCTTCTTTAGTGTCGATGGAACGAGTTGACTGTTTTTGACATTTGACATAGATTGGGCCAAGATATCGAAACCAAAGGGGTTCTTGCCTGTCTTGATATCCGTCTTTGCTTTCTTCGAAACCGGCCCTGGTTGTACTTTTCTCATTTTGGTTTTATCGGCTTTTGGCTCTTGTCCTACTCCCAAAGGTAACTCTAGATTCTCCTCTTCGTCGTCGGAGGGTTCAGGCGCGTAGTCGCTTTCGTCTTCGTCACTGCTTAGGTTAACAACCTTTCTGTTGCGTTTTCTGATCGTCGCTGTACGTGAAGATGATGAGAGTCCAGACACGACTGATGCGTTGCGATGGCTTCGCGTAAGGTTTTGTGCTGGCATACTGGAGGCTGAAACTTGGGAGCCCGCACGCACATTTTTGAAAGCTGATATGGCGTCCTTGGTGGCGCTAGCAGGAACTATGGGCTTTCTGAAGTTAGGTGTTGAGGGCGTGACGGGTGTTGATGGCCCGGTGGGGCATGGCGATGGAATCATGTTAGGGATATGCTGCTGTGGCTTTGGTGTGCTCGGAGCTATAGAGTCGTTAGCTTCAGATCAAAAAAAAAACACTCAGAGTTCACAACTTACTTCGTGGAGCCTCAAACATGAGTACATCTTCACCAATTACTTCCACATCATCCCCACGATCCACAGTCGACTGTTCCGGAATGAACAGTGACCCTTCGTCCTCTTCTGTCGATACCCTAGCTTGGTGGGAAACGTCGACGCTCCTACGCTCCGATATGAGATCACTGAACGATGGCTTCTCAGGTACTTTTGATTGAGCTGGTTGTTCGATTGGATCCTGTTGCGGTCGGGGTGCCAGACTAGCTCCCGAAAACTGCCCAGGAGCTCGCCTCTGAAAGCCAAAACCCTGATTTTCCGGTGTCTTTGACGTAGCACACATCGAACCAGACAAGGAATAAGGTCGCGACGCAGTACCGTTAGATCCCGATGCTGAAAATGCTCGAGATCCAGGTAAGCTAGACCCAAACATCGAGTTTCCGAGTGAACCATTAAAGGCCGAAGAAGTAGCCGGGGCGCCAAACGTTGTCTTCCCACCAACTTGACCTTGAACAGACTGTTCTCTAGGCGTATTCGCTGAACTATTCACCTGTCGAGCCGGTGCAGCTTCCAGAGTAAACGCACTCATCTCACGTTTGAACGGCGCAATTTGCTATGCTCGTTAGCCAAAACATCCCTTATTTATAGCCCCAACCTAGGTGACACAAGATAATTGACATAATAGTGTACAAAAGCCACTATAGGCGCTAGAAATGCCTATTTGGTGTTTGCCCGCACTATCAAGTATTCTGTGTCACCTAGGTGGTCCCTTTACATTAACCACTTACCCCAAAACGCTTTGGTTTGTTACCGAAAAATTCAAGTGTTGTAGAAGGAATGGAACGTGTCAGTTCACCGCGTTTTGTCACTGGTGTGTCGGCGTTGGTTGACTGGGTAGCACAGATGTCAATGAGCAAGCTGAGCGAGCTCAGCCAATTGGCTTGCTCAGCATACTTGTCAACGAGCGAGCCGGCTCGCTCAGCTCGCTCGGCTTGGACGTTTTGACCAAGCCGAATGAGCTGAGCGCGCAGTGCGCGCTTGCAAGCCGAGCGAGCTTAGGGATAGGCGCTCGCTCAGTCAGCTTGCTTAGCTTGGTTGGATGGGGCGGTTGGAAACTTGGGGCTGAAGGACTTGGTGGAGGGGCAATCTCACGATGATTTTTAGGTGTAGTGCGTAAGTTCGAAACCTAGTTATAACCTAAAATACACTCTTTTTTGCTATATTTCTAGCAAATAAGCTACTAAATTTCCGGCTAACGGCCTGGCAACAATATTCTCCTTCTGCGACACTTCACTTACTACTTATCACCCACCACACTCACCTATACTCCATCAACGCGTCTCTATTTGCAGCTATTATCTACCTCGCCGTTGCTATAATGCCAGCAAAAAGAACACGCGTTAATGCTCTAGAAATCGCGACAACTTCGAAGCGCCCTAGAGTCGCAGCGCGTCATCGCGGGACTGCCAGCCAACCTGTGCTAGTCGATACTCGGCCATTCTCACCATCTCCACCTCCTCCACCGCTGTCGCCGCGTCAAGCTCTCGTCGCCGCGCCACAAGCACCAAATTTTGAAGCGACCCTCCGAGAGTCGCGCGCCGAAGAGACAATCATCCCACCACCTGAGGGCAGCGAGCATGCCACTGTTGCAGCTTCAGGAGCAGCTAGCGAGGCTGTCGACGAGGGTTTCGTATGGGTAGAGGACAAATACGACGGCTTTAATTGGAGTCGCTACCCAAAGCACTGCAAGCCGCCCACATCACTTTCGAACCGAGCAAGCTGGGTATACAGCCATAGCTATCGCATCGCCTTGCGCAGCAACGTCGCAAAAGTCACGTGGATCTGCCACTATTGCTATAAGCACAAGTTCACTACTGTTGGCCGTGGCATACATGACGTCTCGCAGTCTCCATCAGCGCCAGCACGTCATCTCGGAGAAGACAAGAAAGGTCATGGCTTGAAGCCTCCAAGTAAGCGCACTACCGTCGCTCCTCGGAAAGAAACTCTCCTCGAACGCGCCCTTCAGAAGGGCTGCTCTCAGGCTGTTGCCAACGAGCTTACCAACTTCAATATACAAGAGTTTAGGCTTGCGGCCGTCACCTGGCTCGTCGAAAACAACCTCCCACTCTCACAATTCGAATCATCGTCTTTTCGCAATATGATACAATTAGCTAGCGTAGAGGCAGAACGAGCCCTGTGGGCATCTCATAACAGCGTCTCACGATACGTTATACGCCTGTACAACTACCTGTTACCAAAGGTTGTCGCAAGCCTTTCAGAATCAATGAGCAAAGTCCATATAAGCTTTGACGGATGGACGACAAAAGGTGGCAAGCGCGGTTACTTAGGTATCGTCGCCCACTACGTTGATAGCTCTGGCGAGCTCAGGGACTTGCCTATTGCGCTCCCACAACTGACAGGTGCCCACACCGGCGAGGCCATGGCTGAGGTCGTGATGGCAATATTCAAGCAGTTCGAAATCACTGTGGGCAAGCTCGGTTACTTCGTCCTCGACAACGCACATAACAACAACACCACGATCAACACTCTCGCCTTGCAGATGGGCTTCAGCGCTACCGAGCGTCGCCTTCGCTGCGGTCCTCATACGCTTAATCTCATTGGCCAGATGCTACTCTGGGGTGAGGAGAAAGAGTCCTACGACAACGAGGAGACTGAGCGCGTGAACGAAGCTGAGAACATGGCTACTTGGCGAGGCGATGGACCATTAGGAGTGCTTCTCGCGGTTATCAACTACATCAAAACACCACAACAGTACGCTCTTTTTGAGAAGTATCAGAAGCTCGCTATTAGGGACCAGCCTGTCAACGCGCCAACAGAACAGCACAAAATCAAGGAGCCCGTCAAGCCAGTTGTTACTCGCTGGAACTCTTACGTTTCGTGTTTTGAGCGCGCTGTTGAGTTGCAATTAGCGGTTAATGGGTACGCCAACTACCATATTCAGAAGATTGAAACTGAAGACGCGTACGCCCGAAGTCGTAACAACAAGCTGCCTGCAGCGCCGGATTGGATGAGGTCTGATGGGATCAATGCCCATGACTGGCAGGTGATTGCTGAGTATATTGATGTGCTCAGGCCACTGAAACAAGCTACAAAACGGCTTGAAGGCCGCGGCAAAAGCGGTGCTTTTGGAGCAATCGCTGAGGTTATTCCAGTATTTGAATACTTACTTGGAGTCTATGAGGACCGCTTGCAAAGCTATGAAGACGTCATTCACGATGAGCATACAGAGTCACCCGAAGACCACCTTGCTATCAACCTCCGCGCTGCCCTAGTTAAAGCCCGCGAGTACTACAACAAGCTCGACCTCTCGCCAGCTTACTATGCTGCTACAATCCTTCATCCTCGCTACAAAAGCTACCTTGACGCAGCGTGGGCGGATAAGCCTGATTGGCTAGAGAGCAGCAACCGCAAGTTTCAACATTTGTGGGCGGAGTACAAAAGCTTACCGAAGCCGCGCTTACGCTCTAAAGTTAGGCACAATGATATAGAAGACGCTATTAACAGCTTTATTAAGCCGGCAGGGCTTACGGAGAACGAGGAGGATGAATATGAGGCTTAGAAACGCAGCGAACCGATCGCTAGCGAGGGCGTCGACCCTATAAAATACTGGGTAGGACTCCGCGATCGCTACCCCAGCCTTAGCAAATTTGCTATCGACATGCTATCAATCCCAGGCTCAAGCTGTGAGTGTGAGCGCTTATCAGC